TGTGCAGTGACTTGTGCAGGCAACCACAGGGGCTTTTTGCAACCAGATGTTGGCGATGAATGACACAGGGAATGGTAAAGACACTGGGCACTGCTTTTTTCAAGTAAGCAACACGCCCATGGCAGTGACCAGTCACTGACGGTAAGTGGAATTTCCTTCCCTTTGACGGGTTAATACCATTACTTTAGGGGAAGGAAAAGGTCCTGGAAGACCCAAATAAAAATAAAAATAATGGCTTGAACTTGAAGGAATAAAGGAGACGATTTTACTTTTGCCTCCTTTTAATAGTTTTATTTTTTCTTTCACCTTATTACTGCAATTCTGATTCAAGACAATGTGTTATATTTTCTTTATAAAGGTTTTTCTAAACATCTTTATTTGTTGCCAAAAATATACCTACATTTCCCCCCGATTTTGATGTTTACCATCATTTTCCTCATTACCAAAATTTTTATTAGTTGTACTCTACATTTTTCCTCAAGTACCTAAAAGAAATCAACCCTGACTGTTCCCTGGAAGGCCAGATAATGAAACTGAAGCTCAAATACTTTGGCCACCCAATGAGAAGGGAGCACTCACTGGAGAAGACCCTGATGCTGGGAAAGATTGAAGGTCAAAGAAGACGGGGATGGCAAAGGATGAGATGGTTAGACAGTGTCATAGATGCAACGAACATGAAGTTAAGCAAACTTCAGAGGACGGCGGAAGACAGGAGGGCCTGGCGGGAGCTGGTCCACGGGGTCGCGACGAGTCGGACTCAACTGTGCGACTGAACAACAACAACCCATTTTTTCCTTCTACCTCCTCATTTTCCCCCTTAAAATCAGTTTTTTCCCTTTTGAAAACACTTATTGAGAAATTTTAAATCCTTGTGTAACCCTCATTTCTCACACCAACCCCAACTGAGGGAAAATATTGTGGGAAATGGATTTCTTAAGGGAAGGTGGGGTGGGGGCAGACAAAAACAAAGCAACGGTGCCTCCGGCCCTCTGGCCTCCGCTTCCTAACAGGAGGGGTGGCCTACCAGTAGGCAAAAGAGAGAGAGAGAGAAAATTTCAGACACAACTCCCAGACCCTCTAACCACCGGCTCTGACCATACACAAGTAGAGCTTAAAACAGAAGGAGGGTTTAATTCAACAAAGAGGGATGGGGAACCAAAGCAGGACACACACATACCAAACTCAGATTTAGACAAGACAACTTGAAGTTGGAACCAAAGAGGCCATTTGAGAGTCTCTTGCTGTGTCTCTCCCACTCCGCCTGCTGTGGCTTGGCTGGCTTTGGGTGTGTGTGTGTGTGTAACAATGGGGGTGGCTCCTCAACCTTTTTGTGTTGCTGCAGATTTCCGGAGGCTCCTCCTCCTTGGGCCGCACTCAGTTCTCTGCCCTGGGAGCCGGACGGCTTCGGTCTCCTTTCTTCTCCTCAGAACTCCCCCAGGGCCCCCATTCGGGGACTAAAGAGGCCAAACCAACAGGGTTACAAAGGTGTCACCTAGAAACGCTAATCTGGGGCAGGCTGCAACAAAAACAACACTTCTATAGCTACAGTAACAGGCTCAGTAGCCGAGAACACGGAAAAATAAATACCACACTCGGAACAATTATGTTGACGATTTACCAGCAAAACTTTTAAAATGACAGAGATAAAAACACACGCAGTGGTGACAGTTTCTCAATACGTGGTATATTGGCATGACTAGAGCTCTGGTGGCGTACTTACTAAAATTCCAATCGTTTCCACCAGATTCTAGCTCTGTGCAGAGACAGAAACGTGGAACGCCATTTGCCAACTTCTGTGCTCTAGCCGGGTCTATCGTAAACAGGCGAACGTGGTCAAAGGGCCCCACCTCCGGTGTCTCCCATTGCCCCTTGGCTCTTAGGGCCCTCAAAGTAATCCTGCTCCCCCCCCCCGGTACTGACATGGGGGGGGCTGAAGATCCTAGCAGACGTTGGGCCTGCACAGATGCAAAGCTTTGCAGTTCCAGGAGGACGGAGGCTTGGCCTGGGGTTAAGACTAAGAGGGAATCTGGGCAGAAGCTCAGGCCACAATGGAAGGGGAGGAAAGCGGAGGGACCAGAACGGGGGGGGGCCCAGCAGCGAGCGACAGTCAAGCACATTACGCAGGAGCTCCCCAACACCTGAAGCTAAGCGTGCACTGGGACGACACTGGCTCTGCAAAGCAACTAGGGAGTGTCCTGGGATTGGGGAGAGGCGGGGCATTCAGGTGAGCTCTGTGGATAGCCGACCAATTGGCTG